AGCCATACTCAAGCAGGGGAAACATTCATGTTAAAACTGACAAAGGAGAAAGCTTTCAGTAAAATAGATGAAAGCAGGGATCACAGCGAGGCTTTTACTTAATTGGTATCCCTGGCAAATTAATCCTGGCTACTGAGCATGTTGAAATGAATGGGATTCTGAGGCCATATTCATGATTTATTAGCATTGTTTGCCAAGGGCTTTAATGTGAGAGTGGTGATGAATGTTCCAAATATTTGTCATCTTTCACTGAATGTTTGTATTGTTACAGTCAAATTAGGTACCTTGCTATTGTTCAGTCGCTCAGTCTTGTCTGACTCTCTGCGACCCCATGGACTGCACCCTCCAGGCTTCCCTGTCCTTCACCATCTCCCGGAGCTTGCTCAAACTCATGTCCATTGAGTCGGTGATGCCATCCAACCGTCTAGTCCTCTGTTGCCCCCTTCTCCTCCTGCCTTCAGTCTTTCCCATCATCAGGGTCTTTTCTGATGAGTTGGCTCTTTGCATCAGGTGACCAAAGTATTGGAGCTTCAGCATCAGTCCTTCCAATGAATATTCACAAGTGATTTCCTTTAGGATGGGACTGGTTGGATCTCCTCGTAGTCCAAGGCACTCTGAAGAGTCTTCTCCAGCAGCACAATTCAAAAGCATCAATTCTTTGGCACTCAGCCTTTTTATGGTCCAAGCCTCACATCCATACATGACTGCTGATGTCATATCAGAGTTCAGTTTCTTGAATGTGATAAATGAATTATATCCATGTTCTTAGGAGATAGTGCTGAAATATTTAAGAAGGAAATGTCATGTTTGCAAGTTACTGTCAGTTGGTTCAGCAAAAACATACAGAAAAGGTGAAGTATTACCAGTTGACAGATCTAAATAAAAAGTGTGTTAAGTGTTCATATAGTATTGAAACTATTCTGTAGGCTTGAAAATTCTCAAAATAAAAGAAAGAGTAGAGTTGTTTATTAAAGTAGCCATACTCAAGCAGGGGAAACATTCACGTTAAAACTGACAATGGAGAAAGCTTTCAGTAAAATAGATGAAAGCAGGGATCACAGCAAGGCTTTTACTTAATTGGTATCCCTGGCAAATTAATCCTGGCTACTGAGCATGTTGAAATGAATGGGATTCTGAGGCCATATTCATGATTTATTAGCATTGTTTGCCAAGGGCTTTAATGTGAGAGTGGTGATGAATGTTCCAAATATTTGTCATCTTTCACTGAATGTTTGTATTGTTACAGTCAAATTAGGTACTTTGCTGTTGTTCAGTCGCTCAGTCTTGTCTGACTCTCTGCGACCCCATGGACTGCATGTCCTTCACCATCTCCCAGAGCTTGCTCAAACTCATGTCCATTGAGTCGGTGATGCCATCCAACCGTCTAGTCCTCTGTTGCCCCCTTCTCCTCCTGCCTTCAGTCTTTCCCATCATCAGGGTCTTTTCTGATGAGTTGGCTCTTTGCATCAGGTGACCAAAGTATTGGAGCTTCAGCATCAGTCCTTCCAATGAATATTCACAAGTGATTTCCTTTAGGATGGGACTGGTTGGATCTCCTCGTAGTCCAAGGCACTCTGAAGAGTCTTCTCCAGCAGCACAATTCAAAAGCATCAATTCTTTGGCACTCAGCCTTTTTATGGTCCAAGCCTCACATCCATACATGACTGCTGAAAAAACCGTAGCTTTGACTAGATGGACCTTTGTTAGCAAAGTAATGTCTCTGCTTTTTAATATGCTGTCTAGGTTGGTCATAGCTTTTGTTCCAAGGAGCAAGCATCTTAATTTCAGGTTGGAGTTACCATCTGCAGTGATCTTGTAGCCCAAGAAAATAAAGTCTGTCGCTGTTTCTGTTGTTTCCCCATCTATTTGCCATGAAGTGATGGGACCGGATGCCATGATCTTTGTGTTTTGAATGTTGAGTTTTAAAGCAGCTTTTCCACTCTCCTCTTTCACCTTCATCCTCTTCCCTTTCTGCCATCAGGGTGGTGTCATCTGCATATCTGTGGTTGTTGATATTTCTCCTGGCAGTCTTGATTGTAGCTTGTGCTTCATCCAGCTCTTATCAGTCATTACTTGATGTAACCCTAATTTTATCCTGAGCTTACATTTTTTCCTGCACTAATACCCTCCCCCCAACAGAAACCGGCTTCACAAGTCTTTAAAAGTCAAGTGTCTGAGGCAATCCTTAAATTAGGATCTTTGAGACAAGATCTCATTTATGGATGGGGTGTGAGGAAGTCATGGACCTCTGCTGAGATTAGAAGGGAGTACACTACCATCAGATTCTCTAAGGGGTTTATGAGCTAAAATGGTTGATAGCCTGGTTCCTTTGCTAGTATTCTGATGATCTGCTATAATTATTTTTCACTTTGTTTGACCAGCAGTGTTTTAGTCTCCTTTCCTGTCACTCTTTCCAGGCCCCTGCATTATAGTAGTGTTTGGCTTCTCTGTCTAGTCCCTTTTAAGATTCTCCATTGCCCTTTGAGAGCAGATGTAGTTTTCATGTAATGAAGAGCAGGTGTAAAGGAAAAAGCTCCCCTGTGTGTGTCTCCTTTACTACTCACAGAGAAAACTTCACTTCTGACACTCTTCCTGGTCACCAAACGTTTGTGGGGTTTTCCCTGTAGCAAGCGATTTTCAGCAACTCTAGCTGGGTGTCCTGTAATTCAATTTGATTCTGACAGTATCTGCCTGGTGTTAGCATCAGATCCCACAGGTGAAGAGCTCAGTCCCACAGGACACCCCAGCCCCCTTGTCACCACTCAGAAGCCAGTTGGCAGTCCAGTGTTGTCACAAGTACTTCTGACCCACCAGTTGTATGTTGTGGTTCCCTCAACCCCTTCCTTCTGTCCAAAAATTTGTTAGAGTGGCTGATAGAACTCTGGGGGAAACGTAACATTTACTGGTTTATTATAAAGGGTAAAAGATACACAGGGCAAAGAGTGTGAGCAGGGCGCTTTGGCATGCTGTCCTCCACCTCCTCCATGTGTTCACCGGCCTGGACATTTGTGGATCCCCATACCTTTGGGTTTTTAGGCAGGCTTCACATTTCTAGTCCTCTTCCTTCCCAAAGAACTGGGAGATGGGGCTGAAAGTTCCAAGCTCCTCCTTATGGCTTGGTCTTTCTGTTGACCAGCCAGCGATCCTGCTGCTCGCTGGGAGCCCACCAAGATTCATCTCATTAGAACAAAAGACAGTACCGGCATCCAGGGGATTCCAAGGGATTTAGGGACTCTGCGTCAGGAACCAAGGGGAGAGCCCCCACCCCAATATTAGAACCAAAGATGGTCCTAGTGCTGCTACTTAGGAAATTGCAAGTGTTTAGGAGCTTTGTCCCAGGAACCAGAGACAGAGACCAATATATATCTTTTCTGTTATTTCACAGCAGGTAATTTTCCATTCTTTTTGGGAAGTGGATATTAAGGAGCCTTGATGAAAGTATATAACTCAATAAATACTGTTGAAAGGATGGTTGAAATAATTAAATATTTCTTTTCCCAAACAGCTTTCCATTGAAATTAGGTGGTGCTCATTTAGTGTTGTTTTGATGGATGAAATTACATGGATCAGTTCTCTTGGCTGCCTGTACAGCTTTCCCAGCTCCTTTTCCAGCCTGAGTCTTCAAGAGGGAGCCTCAGAATTGATTTCTAAAACTGTTTGTACCTGGTGTGATTATAAAGCAATGAGACTGATTGTCATGTGCTGTTTGTGGGATCCGTCTCAGTTACTTTATAGCCATACCTGGTATCTTATACCACAGAATATTGCATGTTGAACAGCATTTTAAAATCACTTAAGGTTTCTAAATGGACATTTTAAATGGTTTAGCATCATTTTAGATTTTTTTCTAACTTACTGATCAGAACTTGTATATCAGAAAGACAATTAGATGTTAACTTGTTGCTTTAATTTGCAGTTTTGTTTTTGTTTTTGGAATTTTAATCCATATTCTGATAAACTGCTTATTGAGTTTCTTTTCAGTTGTAAATGGTCTTTGTACATTGTCCAAGGGTAGTCCTTTCAATTGAATATTATAAATGAAACATATAAACTGGGGTGAACAAAAAAGGAACCTTCCCCTAGTCCAATCTACACATAGGACCTAAGATAGTTTCAACTGTTTCTGATTAAAGATACCACCATTTGGCATTTTGCTGTTGACACTCTATTATCAAATTTCTGTCCTAAGTCAATGAAATTATAAAACTGTGTATCCTGAACTTCTGCTTCTTTCTGTTCCTTGTGCTAGCTCTACACACAATAGGTGCTCCATAAATGTTTATAAGAAAAGCTAATGCCAACAAGTACCAACTTTTGTATTATAAATAACAGTGTTTTTCTCCTTTTCATAAGGAATTGGGGCTCTCTAAAGCACATTTAAGATGGAAAAGGTTTTACAGTGAAACCTGCTGTGATTTTTGTCACATTTCTATTGCTGTGTGATAGAATTCCCAGGTGGCTCAGTGTTCAAGAATCCGCCTGCCAATGCAGGAGACACAGGTTCAATCGCTGGGTCCGGAAGATCCCGTGGAGTAGGAAATGGCAACCCACTCCAGTATTCTTGCTGGGGAAAGCCCATGGTCAGAGGAGCCTGGCGCTTTTCCCTCTTGGCTTCATTCCACAGGGTCATAAAGAGTTGGACACGACTGAGCGACTGAGCGTGATTGCTATATATACAGTGATGTGCACTGTCTCTTGTTACATTTGGCTGATTTAATGGTCTGTCTTTCAAATGCAGTTGCAAGACAAATTAATAGAGCTTTTACCACTACAGTCGTTTTATGCTTTAAGCGTGTTTGTTTAAATCTTAAGTAGTACGCATCAAATTTCTTTTCCCACTTGGTGCCAGCATACCCGATTACAGCTTCATTTCATTTGAATCTGCAAAACCTTGCCATTAGCAAAAATTGCAGTAGTTTTTCTAAGTAACATTTTTATATATATGATATTCTGTAAATTTTAAATGTCACTTGAGTATATATATTTATTTTACATTACAGGCACTGGAGATATTATTGCTGTCATGATTACAGAATTGAGGGGTAAAGATATTTTGAGTTATCTGGAGAAAAACATCTCTGTACAAATGACAATAGCTGTTGGAACTCGAATGCCGCCAAAGAACTTCAGCCGTGGTTCTCTAGTCTTCGTGTCAATATCCTTTATTGTTTTGATGATTATTTCTTCAGCCTGGCTTATATTCTACTTCATTCAGAAGATCAGGTACACAAATGCCCGGGACAGGAACCAGGTGAGCTACCAGTACTCTGTAGTGATGAATGCTTACTGGCTGTAATTCAGACATCTGTTGTAATCATACAGAATACGAACATTTTTTTCATTAAAAAAAGTGGTCAAAAACATATCTATACAAGTATTTTAAGGATATTTGAAATACCTAAATAGAGAAATTATTAAGTTTATAGTGATCACTTGGAATATTCCAGGTGAATGGTTAGCTTAATATCAGAGTGTGATATACCTAATTCTATTAATTTGAAAAAATATTGCAAAATTGCATTTTTAAGCTGATAATATTTGTTGTCAGTAGCAGGGGAGTTGAAAGGATGAAAGAGGGAGACTTTTCACTATTTATACTTTTGTTCCATGTGAACTTTTTTCCCATGTGAATTATCTGTCCTATTTAAGCTTAGCCACAGGGCATTGATGAGGTCAGAAAGGACCAGCAGAAGAGTTGTATCTGTCTAGTCACCCTGGAAATTACATTGACCAGTACAGCCCAAGTACTCCGTGTTAAGATGAATAAATGCACAGGAAAAACAATATACTGCCTTGTAGTAAAGGACTTGCAGATGGTTTTCTGTCAGTTTGTTAACTTATTAATAGTTTGTTTGATGTGCTATATACAGAATATCTGCCCTGGAGCAGTTGTAAGATGTTAGGTCCCAGTCCTAGGTATTTCTAAGAAACTAAGAAGTAAATACTTTGGCCACCTGATGCGAAGAGTTGATTCATTTGAAAAGACCCTGATGCTGGGAAAGATTGGGGGCAGGAGGAGAAGGGGACAACAGAGGATAAGATGGTTGGACGGCATCACCGACTCAATGGATGAGTTTGGGTGGACTCCAGGAGTTGGTGATGGACGGGGAGGCCTGGCGTGCTGCAGCGCATGGGGTCACAAAGAGTCGGACACCACTGAGGGACTGAACTGAACTGAAGAAGTAAATAGTGTGGAGCATGGTTTGAAGCCAGTTTTTTTTTATTTTTAGCTGCATTGGGTCTTTGTTACTGCACACGGCTTCCCCTTAGTTGTGGTGAGCTGGGGCTGCTCTCTAGTTGCAGTGCATGGACTTCTCATTGGAGTGGCTTCTCTTGTTGAAGAGCACAGGCTCTAGGTACATGGGCTGTCGGTACATGGGCTCATTAGTTGTGACACATGGGCACAGCATGTCCAGGAAGATGTCACATGCCGTGCCCATGGGTCACAACTATTGAGCCCATGTACCTATATGGTACATGTACACAATGGAATATTACTCAGCTATTAAAAATAATGCATTTGAATCAGTTCTAATGAGGTGGATGAAACTGGAGCCTATTATACAGAGCAAAGTATGTCAGAAAGATAAAGACCAATACAGTATCTTAACGCATATATATTTAATTTAGAAAGATGGTAACAATGACCCTGTATTCGAGACAGCAGATATAAAGAGACGCAGATATAAAGAACAGACTTTTGGACTCAGAGGTGGATGAAACTGGAGCCTATTATACAGAGCAAAGTAAGTCAGAAAGACAAACACCAATACAGTATCTTAACGCATATATATTTAATTTAGAAAGATGGTAACAATGACCCTGTATTCGAGACAGCAGATATAAAGAGATGCAGATATAAAGAACAGACTTTTGGACTCTGTGGGAGAAGGCGAGGGTGGGATGATTTGAGAGAATAGCATTGAAGCATGTATGTTATGATATGTGAAATAGATCACCAGTCCAGGTTTGATGCATGAGACAGGGTGCTCAGGACTGGTGCACTGGGATGACCCTCAGGGATGGGATGGGGAGGGAGGTGGAAGGGGTTCAGGATGGGGGACACATGTACATCCATGGCTGATTCATGTGAATGTATAGCAAAAACCACCACAATATTGTAAAGTAATTAGCTTCCAATTAAAATTTTTTAAAAAATTTTTATGTAATATAATTCTCTATTCAAACAGAGCACCTGTAAATCCCTGTAGGGGATGGCGCAAGGTGGGGGTGTGTGAAATTTCATCCTTCCTCATTCTAGTGGAAAGAAACATAGACTTTGGTATGGAGTTCAAATCCTGACGTTACTACCAATTTGCCACAGTCCCTCTTGCACAGTTTATATAGCTTCTCAACTTGTTTCTGCATCTGAAAGTATGTATAAAGCATCTAAAAAGTATAATTTATTGAACATTTGTGTGCCAGGCTCTGCAGCATCCTACATCTTTGAAATTTTTATCATGATAATTTTTATTATTTGTGATTTCAGGCCTACGGAAAGTTGTGAAAATAGCATAAAGTATTTTTTTGCCCAAATCTCCAGCAGTTAACCTTTTACCTTGTTTCCTTCTCCATGTGTATCAGTTCAGTTCAGTTCACTTGCTCAGTTATGTCCAATGTTTTGTGACCCCACTGACTGAAGCACGCCAGGCTTCCCTGTCCATCACCAACTCCTGGAGCTTGCCCAGTCATGTCCATCGAGTCGGTGATGCCATCCAACCATCTCATCCTCTCTCTATCCCCTTCTCATGTCCTCAGTCTTTCCCAGCATCAGGGTCTTTTCCAGTGAGTCAGTTCCTCGCATCAACTGGCCAAAGTATTGGAGCTTCAGCTTCAGCACCAGTCCTTCCAATGAATATTCAGGACTGATCTCCTTTAGGATGGACTGGTTGGATCTCCTTGCAGTCCAAGGGACTCTCAAGAGTCTTCTCCAACACCACAGTTCAAAAGCATCAATTCTTTGGCTCTCAGCTTTCTTTATGGTCCAACTCTAATATCCGTACATGACTACTGGAAAAACCATAGCTTTGACTAGATGGACCTTTGTTGGCAAAGTGATGTCTCTGTTTCTTAATATTTTGTCTAGGTTGGTCATAACTTTTCTTCCAAGGAGCAAGTGTCTTTTAATTTCATGGCTGCAGTCACCACCTGCAGTGATTTTGGAGCACAAGAAACTAAAGTCTGTCATGGTGTCCATTGTTTTCCCGTCTATATATACTTTTTTAAAAACTGTTTGAGAGTAAATTTGGGATAAGATGCCCTTTTACACTTAAATACTTCATTGTATATTTTCTAAAAGAAGGAACATTTTCTTATATAGCCACAGTATGATTATCAAGATAATGAAATTAACATTAATATCATTGTCTGATCTATATACCTTTTCTAAGTTTTGTAAAATTATCTTAATAATGACCTTTATAGAAAAGAAAACCCTGGATTGGTCCAGTCAGATTGTTTGTTGTATTCAGTTGTCATGTCTCTTTTAACCTGTTCATAACATTGACATTATTGAAGATTCTAATCCAGCTGTTTTGTATTTGAGCTTGTCTGATGTCTGTTCCTTCATGATTAAGTTCAGGTTATCTGTGTTTTTGTCAGAAATACCTGCCAGGCCTTTACTTTTATTAATTTTTCATTTTGAGATAGTTGTAATTTCACATACATTTATAAGAAATAATGCAGAGAGATCCCAAATACCCTTCACCCATTTCCCCCTAGATGTAAAATCTTGCTTAACTGTAGTAAATATCACAACCAGGATATTGATGTTGATGCAATCCACTGATAGTCAGATTTTTCCAGTTAAACTTGTGCTGGTATGTGTGTAGTTCTTTGCAATTTCAGGTGACCGCCATCACAGTCCAGATATAGTCCTGTTATCACAAGGATCCTTTGTGCAGATTCTTTGATAGTCAGCCATAGGCACCTCCCTCTCCTGCACTGTGCCTAACCCCTGACTAACCCCTGACTACACTAGTCTGTTTCCCCACTCTATAGTTTTGTCGTCTCAAAAATGCTATATAAATGGAATCATAGAATACTTAACTTCTAGAGTTTGGGTTTCTTCATGTAACATATTCCCTTGAGATCGTTCCAAATTGTATGTATCAATAATTTATTTCTTTTCATTGGTGACTAGTATTCTCTATCTTGGATGTACCATAACTTGGTAACCAAGTTATTTCCCGTTTTGACTATTATAAATAAAGTGACTATGAACATTCATGTACAGGTTTCTGCATGAGCATGAGTTTTCATTTCCCTGGCATAAATGTTCATTAGTGGAATTTTTGAGTTATTTTGATAGTTACATATTTAATTTTGTAAGAAATTGCCATTCTCTTTTCCCAAGCAGCTGTACTATTTTACATTCCCAATTCTTCTGCATCCTTGACAGTGTTTGGTGTGGTCACTGTCTTTCACTGTAGCCGTTCTGATAGGTGTGTAGTAATATCTCTTCTGTGATTTTAGTTTGCATTTCTCCAGTGACTAGTGATGTTGACCATCTTTCACCTGCCAAATGCCATCTGTATGTCCTCTTCAGTGAAAGATTTTTGTCTTTTACCCATTTTCTACTGTGTTGTTTCTTACTGTTGAGTTTTGAGTGTTCTTTATACATTCTAAATACAAGTCTTTTGTCAGAATTATGGTTTGCAAATATTTTCTCTGATGGTCTTTTGAAGAGCAAAATTTTTGATTTTGGTGAGGCTTAATTTATCAATTGTTCCCTTTATGAATTGTGCTTTTTCTAACAAGTATAAAAATTCTTTGCCTAACCCCGGATACCAAAGATTTTCTAATTCTTTTCAAGAAGTTTTACATTTTGTATCTGACCCATTTTAAATTACATTTTATATAAAGTGTGAGGTTTAGGTTGAGGTTTCTTTTTATACTTAATGTCTGTCCAGTATTTCACTTTTGTCAAAAAACTCAGTTGGGCACATTTGTGTGGGCATATTTCTGGGTTTTCTGTTTCACCCATCCAAATGTCTATGTTCACACCACACTGTCTTCTTACTGAAGCTATATATTATGCCTAACTATTGGCTACAATGATCACTCCCATTTTATTTTCCTTTTTGTTGGGGTCCTTTAATGGACCGGAACCTGGTGGTACGGAGTCGACGGTAAGAAAGTAAAAGAGAGAAAGAGGCTGATATTCCCTGGTTTACGCAGGGGACCAATAAAGCCCTTGACACAGGACTTGCGTTGCTCATGAAGGCACCAGGTGCCCTCTCAAGGAGGTGAAGGCACAAAGTGCCTTCTCGAGAGGGTCCTAGAAACCCGGGCAGGAAAGTGAGCACGACG